GCTTTCCTGTTTTGGACTAGCGCCTGGGCCAAAATCCCAACATTTATTAATAATTTAGATGGTCTGGATACTGTTCAGGACTTATTAATAAAATAAATAATAATAGATTATAATATATCCAGCTTAGAATACTGATCACATATGTTGGTTATCATGGAGATTAATTATAAAAGTTCTATATATAAAATTTTAGATAAAATAGACTTTGACTTTATACTTAAACAGAATCTTAATGTTATTAAGATTTTTATAATATCTATTCTATACTGCTTGCCTGGCCAGGTGCTATCTAATATAGTCTAATATTATTTACTAAAAAATGATTTACTTAAACTTACTAATATTAGCTGATGAGATAGAAAAAAATAGGAATATTTCTTTTCAGTGATATATATAGCTTTTTTCTTTCAGATTATTTTAAATCATATCTGCCGGATACTCTAAATATTTTTTGATTTTATCAGGGGTGCATAAGCTGGAATTAAAGTAGGCTAATTCTATAGATTTTATCTGTGAGACTTTCTTATTATTATTAGAGATAGAGAATAGAATTTAGAAGATTAAATATTTTATATTATATTAACTTTTCTTATTAATATATATCTTTCTGGATTATGTTATAAGTCAAGACTAATATTAATAAGAAATAAGATTAACTAAAGTAGTATTTAGTCCAGCTGCTGTTTTTAATATATTATATTATTACTACTGCCAGGAGGCTTTAAGATTAGTAAAGATCTCCTTATATTACTAACTAATTAAGTATTACTTTATCAGTCTTGGAGCCTGTCTTCTACTTAGAAAAGATTCTTCTTATTAAATCTACTAAGAAAATCTTATCTATTAATATAAGCTGTTCTGAATAATAGTTAGTAATTATATCTGTTTACTATATTTTAGTAAATCCTTCCAGTATCTGTTGCCATGTGGCTATATATACTGTGATATATATATAATATAGTACAGTTCTCTAGTAAAAGAGATAGAGTATAAGTACTCTATTTGCTATTATATTCTTTATTATAAAATTACAGATATCTTGATCAGAGTACTACTGCCTACAGTGTTAGTTTAAGTAATTATTATCAATAAAGACAGTGTCCGGGCTATTATACTACTGTGGTTTCTAGGATATATATAAGAGATTCTTGACCTCAGGTGTTTTATTTAAGATATAATTAATATAATATTTAGAATAAGTAATGGTAGGATTATATAACAGTTCTTATTATAAATAAATCACTAATAGTATACAGGGGATATTGCTGTACTGAAAGTATTCTACTAATACTAATCTATAAGTAAATACCAGTAAATATTAGCTAATCTTATAATATAATTTTTTCAAGGTTATCTCCCTCTATGAATAACTTGGAATAAACTTATCTGAGCTATTTATTATTAGTGGAAGAATAATTAGTATAACACAGGCCTATAAGATAAACTATTATAAAAAAAATTTAATATAAACTAGGACATGTTTGATATATAGCTGGTCTTAGGTATTAAAGTTACTGTAATAACTGTGGCCGACCAGCCAGTACTGTTGATTAATTACCAGCGGGTAGTCAACTTTCTGGAATAATATTATATAGATTATAAGATATAAATTACTGGAGTTATATTATTAGTCTACTTAGATAATTATTATTAGATTTATACAGTACTAGACCCGGAACATGAGCCTCAGTTATAGAAATAGTAAATTAATAATTACTTAATTAAAATAAGAAGCTGATTTTATTATAATAGAAAAGTAATAACTGCAGTACTAGGATCAGTTTTTTATTTAAGAGATTTTAGATTAAGTTTACAGAAAAGCTAGATTACTTTTTTTGATTAAGATTCCTGGTATTAAGAACTATACAGACAGTAGTCTCAAGTATAATAATCCAGCTTTAATTTATCAGGCTAAAATACTATTTATATAAGAGTTAAACCCAGTACCTGGTATCTTGATTTTATTAGATACTGGTAAGACTAGTAGACAGTACTGCTAATAATAGTAATATAAATTTACTTTCCACCTTTATAACTTATTCTTAGTGTTAATAGATATAGAATAAGTATAGAAAGATCTCCTTAGCCAGATAAATCCCGCAAATAGATATAATTATTATTATCTTAATATTATATTTCCTGATTAGAAGTCTTTTCTGAATACAGCTGTTCAGATAGAATGGATAATAAAATTAACTAATAAAACTACTGAAAGACAAGTACCTGGAGTATTAATTTCTTTATTTCTTACTAGCTTTTTCTTTGAATTCTTCTTCTCTCTTTGTTATAATAATAGTATTTATCAGTGTTATAAAATTATCTGAGATTAATTATAGAGAAAATATTTGGTCCAGGCACTATACTGACTTTATTTATAAATCTTAACTTTTGTTCTCAGGATATCCCGGCTGGGTATCTTGTCTTTTAAGAATATAGTATACTGTAATTATATCAGATATTATATATTTGTTAAATTTGAAGTTAATAAACTAGACAATAATATTATATTAGTTCTTGAGCTTTATCTATATTAATTATAATTATTAAATGGTTTTCTCTTATCCCTGTGCCATCTAGTTGATTAGCTTAAAATTAATATAATTAGTTATTCTGGATTACTAAAGCTATTAGTATATATAAAATATAGATTATATAAACTCCAGATTCACAGGAAGACTAGGCCAGATTTTGAGAATTCTAATTACAGAAAGTATATCTGTTTCATCTAAGCCTATTATATTTATAAAGTATAAGGTAACTTTTCTACATAATTATAGAATAAATATTATAATAATCTATATTTTCTGTTATTCTGTATACAAAACTTGATAAGTATTAGATTAAATATTAAATATAAATTTTTTATTTCTTTTTCTAGAGCCTTGTGCCGTGTTCTAGATTACTGTAGATTTCTAATAAAATTTAAAAAAAATTAATAAATCAGGAATTTCTGTTCAAAGATTACTGGAAATACTTATATTTTCTGATTAGAAATCTTTATTATTTTATAATAATTTTCTTAAGATCCTGGCAAGCTGCTTGTAAAGCGCGTGCCTGCTGGCTGATTCTAATTTTTATTTACTTAAGTAACTAACTTCTAGTCTCTAATTCTAAAAAAAGATAAACTGGGATTAGTAAGTTATCTGCTCTATTAAAGAATTATTTATTAAGATATTGAAATTAGTCCTATAGCTGTATTAAGTCAGATATAGTCTGGGTGTACTTGTGATATTCTATAATATAGTTTTAATAGTATCTTACTAATTTCCTGTAGCTGTAATTAAGCTGCACTTAGAGTAGTTAAATATAATTACAGAGATTCTAGCAGTCAGCCTAGTAGAAATAGATTTATTCAGTCAGCTGGATAAACTAAGAGTCTTAGTTTTAAGATAGCATGGGACTGGTCATGTTAGGGATTTGAGAGATATTAGACTGATACTATATCTAAACAGCTTTTATTTTATTAATTTACTAGTCTACTTCTCTTTGATCTAACTGTCTATATTAATACTTGGCTTAAAGCTTTTATACTGGAATTAATTTTCTAGATATGAAATATTACTGAGAGATGATATATATAATAACTGAAGATGTTAATACTGTATATCTTCTATTACTATTATTAGATATAATATCTTTAAACTTGAACTGCAGGAGACGTGGTTAATAGAAGAATTACTTATAAAAGAATTAGTATTATTTAAGAAAGATTGACAGGGATTAGTAAGTTTTATATAATAAATTATATCTCTGGATTATTAATACTGCTGTATTAATTCTCCTGATTATTATCTATTCTATCTGATAGATGTGACTGTTAGTTTAGATTAAACTTAGAAATATCAGGTACTGGACTCTCTTTATTAAAATAAGACTTTAAATTTTTATGAAATGATACAGGCTGAACTCAAGCAAGAAATTAAAGCTAAAATAATCACTTATATCTATATAATATAGTTATATTAATGTTAATTTAATTACAGCAGGCTGTTAACTGAGCTCTGGATAAATAAAAAAAAAACAGGAAAAGTTAAGAAGATATAGACAGATTTTTAATAATAATTAAGTTATTATATTTAAGTGGTCTCAGATTAAGTGGTATATAGATTAAGCTATTTAATATTAGTTAACTAATAAATAATTATTATATTATTTAATATTTCACTAGCCTACTTTGTCCTAATAATGGAGATAATATATTGTTATTTTTATTAATACCTGTAATTAGTTATTATAATATATTTATACTATTGCCTGAACACTTATTATTTATAGTGAGAGATAGTATAAAGAATATTACTGCAGTTACTGAGAGTTCTTAATTAAATAATCTTCAGCGGAGCCCCGTGGAAATAGATATTCTTAATATAACTATTTTATTTAGTTATCTTACAGTTATCTTTCCAGAAGACTTTTTCAGACGGATATTAAATAATAATCTAGACCTGGTACTTCAAGAATTTGTATTTCAAGAAGTTTAATTTCAGAATCTTAGGATAATAATAGATACTACTGAAAGTATGGGGGGGAATACAGGCCTGAACTTATTTATATCAGAGAATAATTATTTATTTATACTATAATTGACTTTCTAATCAGGATTAAATATAAACTTAGATTTATATTCGCATGTCTTACCTAGTTTATAAAAAAAATAATTAACCGGATTTAATATCATGACCTGTCCTGAGATGCCTATAGACTTAGAGATTCTTGTTACTAGTATAAATAATATCTATTTCTAAGACTTAAATAGACTGACATCTGCTATATATAATTTATATAATAATAGTAAAATTAAAGAGCTTTCTATAGATCTGTCTACTTCTAGTTTTTTAATCTTAACCAAACTTACTATATACCTAGACAATATTATCTTAAATCTATAGAATAAGGATACTTGGTCTCAGATACTGAATCAGATCTCTTTTTCAGATATATTTAAAATTATATAATTTACTTTTAACAGAGGATTTATTTAAACTCTTCTCTGAGAGCTAATATATACTGATAAGATAATCAGGATAATAATAATAAATTACTTTATATACAAGCTAACAGTAGTACAAATTACTTTTAAAACATGGACTAGGAGATAGGTAGAGCTTAAAGAATTATAATAATATTTACAGTACTTATTAATAATGGTTAATAATCTGGATTATTTACTTGTAGAGATTCAGTACCAGGCAGATAGTTTAATTTATTATATAGAAGGCAGTACTATATCTCTAGAAGATTACTACAGAATTTATCATAAAATTAAGAAGCATGTAACTCAGCTACTATATTTAAAAAGAAAGAGAATCCTGTAATAGAATATTTAATATTAAATAATACTAATAGAATTAACTGACAAGACCTGATTACTCTAAGTTATCTACTAGTAAATAAAATAGATAGATATCCAGGATCTTATATTTACTGATTACTGGTTAAGATTTATTAATAAGATACTGCATGATTTCAAGACAGCTCAGAGCAGTAATAGTCTGCTTTAACTTAGTATATCTAGAAATTTATTAACTCCTGATAATATTACCAGATTTCTTGAAATATTCTGGAAAGACTTCAGTGAATATCATGACTTTTATACTAAAGTATAGAATATGGTCAGAGAGATTATAATATATAAGAATAGTAATCAGATACCCATTAGCATAGACCGTGTAAGTGAGTTAATATAATTTATTATAAATATCAGCTTATCTGATATCCTAATTTTACTCTAAGACTGCTTATATTATATAAGGCAACAGCTTGTATCAAGATATTTTAATCTTTCTGAGATATCTTAGAGCATATTTAATACCTACTACTTGTATTAAAAGAGCCAGATACTTTCTGTTATTAGTCTTTACCTGGCTAGCTGGAAGCTATAAAAGTTGAAAAAAAACTATTTTAGCAGTAATGAAACTAGAGTGGTTATACCTGACCGTTATACCTTAACCTAACCTTAACCGTAACCTGACAGTTAGGTTAAGGTATAAGAATCCTCTTAACCGTACGGTTAAGGGTAGGTTACAGTTAAGAG